TGGAAAGAAACCTGGAAACCTTGTGACTAGTTGGAGAGGTAAAGATGTCCAGGATTGGATTGCCTAGACATCACTGCCTGGAATGCTCTGGAGTTTAGTGTCCACTAGGGGTGTGCGGTTCGGGTATATTGAACCTGAAAAATACTGGTATTTCACGATATTCCAGAATCCCAAATGTTGGTATGGTATTGGATTTGAGAAATATTCCGGATTACTGAATATTTAGACTCCGTTATACCCTATGAGGAGCATTATAGGCTATAATGGAGAATCGATTTGGAGGTATCTGGGGCTCTGGGGGACCCTATTTTTGAGGTAGATGTACCAAATTTGCAGCATAGCTGCTGGTGCCTCTCCTCAAAAAGGCCTTCCAAGTTTAAAAAAGATTGGACCAGGGGGTCCAATTCTATGGGTCCCAGAAGAAGGTGCCCCCATCCTCCATGGTTTCCAGTGAAGCAAAAAAGACATTTAAAGGGATTGAGAGCCCTTTAAATGCCTTCTCCAGTTGTGCTGCAGGAAGTGAACTCCAAAGGCCTTTAAATGCCCTGAAACTGCAGCTATTCGGTGTGTTTTCGGGGTGGCCATTTTTGGATAGCAGAATCACTAGCCTCCTTGGTGATCGGCTTAGAAAATATCAGATAAAATAACAATAAGGTATTTATCGGACATTTTTCTGGCTCAGTTTATACCAAGGGTACATCCCTACTGTCCACTCGCTGAGATCCACATCTTGGTGGCTGAGCCAATCTCCTTTTAAGCTGTAGATCCCTTGGGAGGTGCTGGGCTTGTAGGAGGCCTCATGGGTTTCTGTTAAGAAGAAGAGGAGAAGGGCTTCTTTTTGTAGGTGGTGTGATCTGGTCCCTCCTGGCCGGTTTACATAGGTCTTGGATGTGTTGTTGTTGTTTGGCCCCCCAAAAGGGATTTTTTATTGCTTTTATATAAACTACAAAGAAAGTAGGAAAGGGAGTCTAATATCTATGGGAGAAAGAAAAGTTAACCACTAAAAACCCAAGTAGTGAAGATCATTACATAAGTTTTTAAAATGATTATTCTAATCTATTATTAATACAATGAGCTTGAATGTTTAAATCTAGCCAATATTCCCCAAAACCCGATATCAACTGTTTTAGGCAATCACAAAAGCATCAAGCTTAAAAAGATAAATGTAGCTTCTTAAAGGTGGAATTCAGAGTTCCTCCGCATCTTATTTCTTGGCATTTCTTTTCCTCAAACCATAGTCTCTTTGGGGGGCCACAGCCCCCAACTCCTAATCAGAGTCCTCCTCCGTAGTTGAAGAAGAGTTTTCACCGCTTTCTTTATCCTGGTCTTCATCTTTGTTGTTTTCTCCGGACCTTCCCAGTTGCTGCTTCAAGAACTCATTTGCTTTCTTAACAGAGTCAATTATTTCTTTTTCATTTATTCTGAAGAGTGTGGCTTCAGGAACCAACCATTTGTACTGTATGCTGTTTGTTTGTAAAAACAATGCTAAGTCTTTGAATTTCTTCCTCTTCTTTCTAATTTCAAATGGAATGTCTTTTAGTATTCATATGGTATTACCATTGATTACTATTTCTCCAAGCAGATTATTGTTTTTAATATATTCCGAATATAATCTGTAGACCACATCCATTTCGCTTTGAAGATATTCCGTTTTCAAATCTGCTACTGGTGCAAGTAGATCACCCAATACTTGTTTTAGATGCTCTCCTTTTGTCTCAGGAGCCCCTTGGAATCTCAGAATAAAGCTTGCTTTTCCCATTTGTAGTTGCAAAAGCTGAGATTCGTCAGTAATTATTTTCTGGCTGTAGGGCCTCCACTATGTCATGGAGGATCTTCATGTGAAAGTGCCTTTTGTGGACCCCTCTTGTTGATATGCTTTAGATCGACAATGGCTCCCCATTTACTGTTTCTCTTAGGCATGACAAACAAGATGGAGTAAGTTCTGGAAAAATTCCAAGTCTCTGGAACCAGGTCTATTGCCTGAAATGTTCAGGAGATGCCGTATGGCTTGTATCATGACTATGTGTTTTTGATTGTTCTTGAATCTGGGGGAGAGGAGAAACTTGTCCTGTGGGGAGGTAAGTGAATTCAACTGTGTAGCCCTGGCTGATGGTACTGTGCACTCTCTTGTCCTGAGTGGGGCATTTCCAGGCTAGGGCAAAGGCCAGGAGGAAATTCCTCCTGTTGGAAAAGCCTGGTACAGGTAGCACTGAGCTGGAGCCTCCTCTGCTGACCATTCCCCTTCCTATCAGATAGCATCAAGTTAGATTCTGAGTTATTAGAATCCAAATGGCCAGAGGGGCAGTGCGGAGCTGCATTTGGGCCTTGGAGGAGGGGGAGGGGGATTCGTGCCTTTTTGTGCCTGGAGCAGCTTTTCAAGTGTCTGTCCCTGGAAGAATGTTGGGGGTTGGGGGAACAGAAGTCCTCGTCCTCTGAAGAATGTCTGTGATGAGATTTGGAGCTCTTCCGGGGGAGGGGAGATGAGAACAAAGTGGGGGAGCAGCATCTGTCTGCATTTTTGTTTTTCCCTTACTGTTTAGAAGCCCCTCTTGGATGACTTTAACAACCTTGTTGGTGATCCAGGAACAAATATTAGGGTGTAGAGATGCCCCATCAAAAATTCGGGGGGGCGGGAAGGGAAATCGGGTGTTGTGTCCTGGAAACCGTCATGAAGTGATGGCCAGGCGAGCAGAGCTTGATTCCTAAAGAACAATAGAGACTAGGCTCCCAAGGTTCACTAGGGGAACCAATAGAAACCTTGGAGAGGAATTCAAACCCCCCAATGGGATCCAGGAGTGTTCCCTTGGATATGTATATAGTTGGCCACGCGGCCCTTTGTCTTTTGTAGTGTGAAGAACTGAGTAAACGTGTGTTTCTTCTGTCGTTGTCTGAGTCGTGATGTACTGAACCGAGTACTTTACATCGAGAACCCTGGGATCTTTGCACCTCCCCATCCCTTTGCTGGTTATCCACTGTGTGTGAAGTCTCACTACTGTGTGTTATGAACTCCAAAACCTTGGATGTGCTCCTGCCTGCTTAAATTTTGTTGGAGGGGATTGGAGCACTGGAATCAAAAGCGGGCCCCCATGCTCCATCAGCACACCATCTGTGGCCACTAGGGTGGAAGTGGCAGTGGTTTGAAAGACTCCGCTCTCAGCTGAGGGAGGGGAGATCCTGGTGGGCTGTTTTGGCAGTTGGGGTGCTTGCCACCCCCATAACCTGGGGAGGTGGCCTGGACTTGATATCTGCCCTAGAACTGGAGGGTCTGGGGGCTAGGGAATCAGTTGAGCACTCCTGGCTCTGGCAGGGTGTCCTACCTGAATGTGTTGAAGAGGCACCAGGGTTGAAGAGGCGCCATACCCAAAATCCTTTTGGAGTGTCTGGGCATCTTGTTGATCTACACTGCTCAATAAGCGTAAATGTTCTGACTCACCCTTGCTCTCTCGGCTACTTCCATTTTTGAAGAACTGTGGAAGTTTGTCTGATGTGGAGTGAGGAAGGGCATGGACTGGGGCTCACCCCCTAGCCTATGTGGAAGCGATGCAAAAATAATGTTGCATAGCCCTGCATGTAGAGCAAGTGGGGGGGGGGCATAACCCACTTGTGGATAACTTCCACCACTGTGGGAGAAGCTCTGTTTAACATAGTATGAGGATCTGTGTGGCTGGAAGTAAGCTATGGTGGCAGCTGCTGCCAAAGCAGCATTTTAAAAGATCTGCATAACCAATCAGGATCCCTGCTGGGGAAAAGCCCCATCTGGCCCCACCTACTTTCTGAAAACACTTTGGTGGGCACTCATGGGCACCAACTTTGGAGAACCCTGATCTATTGTGTGGCTGCATTCGGAATACAATATGGGCATCGTATGTAAAAAAAAGTAGCAGAGCTGAAAGAAGTGCAGAGAAGGGCATTATCTCTACCTAAGTGCTTTGAGATAAAACGGTCTGCAAATAATCCCATTTAACTCACTGGAGGTAGAAAATGATATATTAACAGAATGCGATTATAAGGTTTGGCTGAAAGTCATCACAGCTAAAATCAGCTGAAATTTCTAAACTTGATCCAAAAGCATAAGAGCATTTAAATTTTGTTTTCCTCTATTTCAAGTATGGAAAAGTAGGGGGGGGGGAATAATTTAATTGCAGAAATAAAGAGAGAAATCTACACAATTGTACAAAAAGATCAAGCATTTATTTTGCGTGGTTAGAAATAAAACAACGTTTAATTTAGTGCTTTAAAAAAATTACTGTAAGTTCACATATATATACTTTCCTCCTGACACTGTTAGCTGCGGAATGTAAACCTACTTCTTCCAACAGAATAACCGGAGGTTAAACATTACAAGTGATCCATCGAGCTTGCCAACAGTTCACCAGTTGCATATCAGAAATATTTTAAGTTGTCACCTTGCAGGACAACTCATCCTCCTCCCCATAAAATGTCCCTTCCTCTCAAGGAGAGCCCATGCAAATACACAAAGTAAATACATCTTGGTTCCTCTAGAAAATCCGGCTACCAGATGTATATCTTCTTTCAAAGCAGACATACAATCTTTGTATTTACTTTTATCTCAATCACTGCAGGGATGGTCCCAATTACTGGACAAAAATGGAGCAGCAGGCTTGTCCCAGAATGTATTGCTAAAATAAGAGAGATCTTTCACTATTCAAACTGCTATTGTTTATAGAAGAAAAGTAGTAGAACCTCTGACTCTAAGCTCATTCTTTAATACACTTGATAGAAATATCAAGTTTTCAATATGACACACTAGTGGCTTTGATTTGGAGGGAAAAATGGTAAGTGACTTGGTGTGCACATACACTCGCACATTCATACATAAAGCCAAGCAAAGTATTTGACCACACTGGTTCTAAGCATACATCAAATGGAAATGTTCAGTGTGAATGGCTTCCATATAATAGTGTTTATAAGATCAAGGAAACCACTACTGAGCAGTGAAAAAAATACCTTGAATAGGAAGCAAAGAGCAGAAAGTGGTATTAATACTACTCAGGATTCTTTTTTTAAACCAAAGATAAAGGTCTTTTCTTGGGTTGTTCTTTTAACTACTTAAGATTTGAACAGTCAACAGCTAATATGACAAGGAACTTACTCATACATGATAACCTCCCAAACATTAAATCACCTCTGAGTCAACCTATTATCTGCTTGAACATTTTAAAAGGAATGTAACTTTTGCCAGTTATCTGTTGAAATGAGGGTATACATGTCAAAAGAAATCTATAAACAGCATTTCAGTGAGAAGTGTCACGTTTTCCCATCTCCTTTGTGCATTCAACAAGCTTTTTAAGCCTGCCCCAACAAACAACTGTTCTTTTTCCATTCGTGTCCTGTAGGTGTATAGATTTTGTTCAGCACAATTATTTGGCTTGAAATTTCACAAAGGCAGATCATTGTCTACAGAGAAAGAAGATTTTGGTAAATTTAGTATGATGAGAAACAATTTACTGAACATATCTACTTTTAAAATAAACTCAGCTTTAAAAGGACAAAAAATCCATGTAAAAGCAACAGAAAATTATGATGAGGGCAACGTTTATTTCCCATGCACAGGTAGTTTGTACAAATTATTATTTGTGCAACTGTGAATCTGTAAACATCTCAGGAGTACCCTCCATTTTTTAACACTGAACAGCCTGCTCAATTTAATATGTTAAAGCTGCAGAACTTTAAACTTCGCAGGTGTGAAAATAAAACCACTTTTAGCAATCGTCATCTGATGCAAATGCAGTTTTCTTCAACATAGTTGGGCGACTAATTATTGATTTCATGCACCCCTCCCAAATTTCAAAAGCTAACCATAATGTATTAATACAATACTAATCCATAAACCAATGTTGGAAGCAGCTTTTCAAATTTGGACTGAATCAAACATTACTGTTGTTTACATGGACTGCTGCACCATGGTTAGTTCTGAAGAGGAAAGGAAGAGAGGGATATGTGTGCCAAACAAACAAACTGATTTTAACATGTATTAATGTTGCAAATAACAAACAACACCTAGTCATCTAGGCAGATTTCAGTGAAGATGGTTAAGAGAAATTGTGGTTTGCACAACAACTGTGACTTTTGTCAGCAGCATCTCAAAACGAGCATTCATTATTACTGGAAGTTCGCAAAGCATGCAAACTGTTTGTGGTTGACCTCTTGTATGATTTCTTACCACTCTAGCCTGATGGCAGATTGAAAAGTCTTGGGAAAGAATTCTATATATAGTATTTACTGCATTTACTTGTGAATTCTCCTGTTGTATAAGGGAGCCAGAAAAAACCAAAGAAAGCAAATAGACTGCAGAGGAAGCCATACCCAGCTAACAAAACCCCACAAACCTGTATGCAAACCCATTCCAGATTACTTTACCTTCTTGATAAGCCCCATCTGCCATTACTAAATGGAGAATTTTGGCATATAGATGTTTGTGTTCAATTCCCAAAATATTCTGAGCTATGGTTGAACAAATATCAATGTTCTCATCTTCATCTTCATGAATAGCCTAAAAGAAAGGCATAGAAAGTGTATTATTTGAAAATAAATAGAAAATTAATATTACTTCCTTATTTTAGACCTCTTTTGTGACCTTTTACAGGACTATCAGGATTCAGGAAAAATATCTTAGTGTACGCAACTCAAGTATGCTTTCTGGCTTCAGTCCAAAAAGCACACTACACATTGCCATGAAGGATATCTTATTAGAAATGTTCATTACTGAGAAGATTCCACAAACCTTCAATTTGTCATAAACTTCAATGAATTTTTCAAAGCCAATTTCTTGCTCCAGGCTACATCTCAGCTCTTCCAAATGACTGAACACACTATCATGCTCTTCACATTCACTTGCATTATCACCATCACTGTTGTCTTTAAAAGAGAGAGAAAGGGAGAGAGAAAAACAGGAAAACTGTTCAGTATTCTATTTCCTCTGCAGTTGTACACTGGGCTGGATCCAGTGAAGTTTTTTGCTCAATCATGCCCAGCTCCTCTCTTTAGTATAGTCTTCATCCCACATGGCTTTTGGTCCATGCAGGTCCCAGGATCCCCAGCATAGCCTTTTTGTTGGTAAAAAGTACACTTTTTTCCTCTACAGAAAAGCTGATTACAACAGCATGCAAAGCATGAGTAATCCTAAAAAACAAGATGCCAGTACACGGATGTTGTGGTAGCTGCCCAGCACACATCGTTATTCTGATCAGGTAACCACAGCGTTTAATATATCTCATCCTAAAGTAATCACAAAGATTTCAAGAAACAAACAAACAAAAAAAACCCAGTGCCCAGGATAATTTTTTTTACTTGGGGAGAAACAGACAAACAATAGCAAAGCTGAATGATGCAGCTGAATGTTCATATATGCTACCACATTTCTTCTTGGTGATGACTGTAAGTGGGCTGAACCTGATACGATCAAATGAAGGACATTTGGTGACACAACTGCTAGTGTCAATTAGCCCTATTTAAAAAGCATGAGATTCAATGAAAAGTTAGAAAAAGAAAAATGATGTTATGTATAAGGTTCTGGCGAGACCCACAACAACTTCTCACGCTTAGAATCACTAGTTCTGTGCAATTTGCTCATTGTAGTCAACGGGACTGTACAATGGTACCCTCTGCCTGTGGATTGATGCATTGCACATGTATACATGGTGGGTGTATAGCTCTGAACAGTGGTCTTCAAACGTGTTGAAGTAATGTGCATTCCTTAATTTACCCCTGCTGGGGGGGGGGGAGGTCAATACACAAAATAACTCCATACTACTTTGCCCCTCCCAAACATTAAAATGCAAGAATCTCACCAACATGAGGTAGCAAAGAACATGTTAATATTTTTCATATTTGTAAATACAGTATTACTGAGTGACAGGCTGCATTTCATAATCATTTCACACATTAGGCAGAGGTAAACCTAAATTTGCCACTGAACTACCTCGCTATACTCTTTTTCCCTCCTGGCCTTGTGGAACACCCCCCCCCCCCGCTTGGCAGAACACCAACCCACTTGTGCGTCCCCAACCCACAGCTGGAGAACTACTAGCAATGAGGGACTGCAACAAACCCTGCAAAGATGGAGCACTGGACTAAATAAACATCTTTGGGCCTAGCTTAAGGATGCTTATCTTCACATACCACTTTAGCATGCAAGTCTTAACTCCAGCTTACTACTGCATTTAAACTATGTTACCTAACACAGCACAGGTACTCCAGTCTTCAATTAATGCTCAATAGAATGTACATGAAATAAAAAGTGGATTTGACCTATTAATGTATTTCCTTTTCCAAGTTTTTATCTGAAACAACCCAAGGTTGGTTTAGACTGTGCCCAAGTTGGAAGACCCACTCCAACCTGAAACCTTTCAGAGTCATCATTCTATAAGAACAACTCTCAAGTCGGACAGAGGTATACCTGAATGCCATTCTTCATTAAGAGCACTTTCACTACTGAGATTGTTGTCATCCTCATCCACCTCTGTACCATTCGTGAGGCATTCTGCTTTCAAAGTCACTTCTTCCTCTTCACTGAATTCCTCGCTAGGCTGCTCTCTGAGCAATTGCTCCATTGAAGCTTGAAGCTCCTGCAAATCTGTGTCTGCTTCCCCAAACATACTGCAAGGCAAAACATTAATATCCTATTATCTAATACATGATAAAACAGTTCTTACAATGCTCAAACTAACTGCAAAACATATTTTTTTAATCAGCAGTGACAATTTATAGCTAATTTAAGAGAAATTGAGGTATCGGAAGGGCCAAGCCAGATGTTACCTTCAATGTGCGGCTCCTGACATGAAAGTTTTCTCCATGGCCTGCTCCAGCTTTGCATAGGTAACATACTGATATTTTGATACCTACCACAGCAGTCTCTCCCCGAACCTCGTCTACTGATACAGGAAGTATCCAAGTGATCACAACATCCATGTGTTACATGGAGCTGGCCATGGTGAGCAGCTTGACATCCAATACTGTAAACTTCAAATACTAAAATCAGTTATCCCACAGACCCCTGAAGTGTCCAAATGATGCAAAGGTCTAACGAGGCACCTAATAGTAGGAGGGCACAGGTGACGTAATTATTACCAGATACAAATGATTCTGTTACTCTGTCTGCAGCAAAATTTTTAGGGGCAATAATTAAACAGCAGCAGAAGAACACCAAATAAGGCACTGTTTTATTTTATTATTTTCTGCTCAAGGCTATAGCTTTAGGAGCAGTGATAGATAGATCCCTAAAGTCAACTGCTGTATGTTGAACCATTCCACAAACTGATACAGCTCTTTCAAGAGTACACGAAAGGAAATAAGGTAATCTGTATTGTAATGTACAGTGACAGTAGTTTTGGAATTTTTAGCATGGTCAGAAAGGTGAAACAGGGACAGGGAGACTTGGAAAGAGTAGCTGTTTAAGCTGAGAACAGCAAGCCATCAAAGCGGATCTAAGGCCCCTTCCACATGGATGATTTGTTCCCCCTGAGACACAAACTGCAGTGGGTTTTTTTTTTGGAAGCATTCACACAGTACCCTGCCATTTCCCCTCCTTTGTTTTTCTGGTATCTTTCTTTGACAGATACTTCGGAAACATCAAAGCAGGGTAAGCCGCATATGGATGGGAGGGTGAGGATAAATAAATAAATGAAACTTTCCCACTGACATCCTGTGCCACTTTCCCTTCTCATTCTCTAATGCCCTCCACCCCCACTGCCAGACGGCTTTAAAAAATTGGTAGAAGGTATGGCTGGCTTTATTATTATTATTTTTTAAGCCAGGAAAAAATTCTTCTGGAAGTCTTTGGCAGGGGGAGCAGAATTGGTGAGTGCTGTGAATGCATCTGCAACGGTAATGAGTCTACAATACCAACATACCTTTGGGACTGCCTCTCCTGGTATATCCCCCAAAGAGCACTGTGCTCAGCAGAGAAAAATCTACTAGTGATCCCTGGCCTGAAAAATGTCCGGCTGTCCACAACCAAAAAAGCCCTGGCTCTGACCTGGTGGAATTCTCTGCCAAATGACATCCGTGTCCTGTGGGATTTAGTTCAGTTCCGCAGAGCCTGTAAGGCAGAAATGTTCTGCTAGGCCTATGGTTAAGAGCCAGTTTGGTGTAGTGATTAAGTGCGCGGACTCTAATCTGGGAGAACCGGGTTTGATTCCCCACTCCTCCACTTGCACCTGCTGATGTGACCTTGGGTCAGTCACAAGCTCTGGCACAGCTGTCCTTGAAAAAGAGCAGTTTGTGTCTGTTGTGGAGAGGGGGAGGGAAAGGAGTTTGTAAGCTGCTCTGAGACACCTTTGGGTAGTGAAGGGCGGGGTATAAATCCAATCTCTTCTTCTCTGCTTCTTCTTCTTAAGGACAGCAACGTTTTTTAATTTAGCCTGGCCTTCCTTTCTTCCTCCCCCTTGGGGTAATGAACAAACTGGTTTTAGACGCCATCTGGAATGGTTATTGTATCTGTACTGTACCTGTTTTATTGTTTCAATCTCATTTTAAATGCTATGACTGTATCTCTTGAATGTTGTACACCACCCTGAGCCCCTATTATGGGGAAGGGCAGTTTAGAAATCAGGTTTATAAATAAATGCAATAGAGAAACAAGCCTGAATGGAAGCAAACTAAATCAGAGAGAAGGGGAACTGAAAACCACAGCACAGGTCTTTGGCCACTGCTGGGACAGTACAATTCTCTGAGACTTTTTTTGTTAGGGGTAAGACAAGTTAGGAGAATGTGTCCTGCATTTTGGCCCAAAAGGCTCTGTGGCACGGATACAGGGTAGAAAGCTCCAAAGTCTGAAAACATGAAATGCCTGGACTATTCGCAAGAAAGGCTTAACAAACGGGTTTAAAAAGCCAGTATGCAAAAGCAACTCTCTTCCCAATTGACATTTTACTGATAACAGATACTAAGCATATGGAACACAGTATTAGTTCCTACAGAAAAAAACACCAAAGGTGTGACTTAAACATGTAACAGGAACTGAGTGTTAAATATCTGTTAAATATTTAGTAGTTAGTATCCAAATCAAGATCCCCAAGAATAGCTATGCAACTGAACACACGGCAGTGAAAGAGACTGTACTGTCTCTAAGCAGTTTTTTAAAGCCTATTCTGATAGACCTAGATAACACTGTCACCTTCTCTCCACAGTCCTTCTGCCTCTGTCTTGCCTCCCTTCAAACAGCTTCTCCTCTGTCTAGGCCCTCGCATTTTGCCCTCCTAAGTCAATGAGCATTCAATTCCCTTCGTAGCAGTTGTACTGAATCGCTAATGTCTACTAACTCTCCTTAATGCTCACATGTCTTCCGAGTCGGACTGTCCTTCTTTGATAGGTTCATCTTCCATATCCTCTATTTCAAGATTCTCCCGATTTTGTATGTCAGCAATACTGGGAACATCAACTAATGTTTTATACAGCTTAGAAAGATCTGGGAGGGAGCAGGTTCTCAACATCTGCAAAGAAGCACTGTGTTAATGGGTCAGATCAGAACAAGAAACAACTTTGTTATTTGAAGGTAAAATAGCAGATTGGAATCTATGCTACCCAAGCACAAGGGACTCAAGGGAAATTCTGAGCCCCCCCCCCCCTTCCCGGCAGCATCCTTCAATGATGCTCTCAGGTATTCTTCTTCCTAGATGTCAGTAGAGCATACATCCAGTTGGTAAAAATTTTCTCTGCCTACATTATCAGAAAATGCAGTTAGCATCCAAGCTTGTGATTTGGATCCAGTGATGTGCAAGGGGAAACATAATGGCCTTAGCACAGATCTGCTTGCTTAAGATATTGTGCAACACCTATCACTTTCCTCCATATATATTATAGTGCCCAAAAATTGGTTGCAAAAGATGTACAAGCAGAAATACAAGCGGGGATACAATAAATCTGACTTTGCGTAAGCAGCTTAAGTGGAAATTTTTGCTGGATCCAACCCATTTTGACATTTGAGCATTACAACCAGTAATGTTTAAACATAACACTGTTAAAAAGCAATATATTTGTTTCTTGCAGAAATAGCTTATGCTGTCTGCAGGTAGAGAAGGAATAGGACAAAGATGACAAAGGAAGATGCAGAATTGTTATTTAGCTTTCAGATCAAACTTTTGAATTCATCCTGGTTATTAGAGGGTTGTCATGATTTTTTAAAAAGTCATAAAAATCTCAGCAAACTAGAACTTTAAGCATTATCTATACGACTGCTTTTGGTATAAACATTTTCTACAAGTGTATTTCCTAATGTCAACCTCACAGAGATGTATTTTGATCTGTGAAAAGCTGGTTGCTTACCAGTAACTGGTGATTTTCGAGTGGTCATCTGTGCATTCACACCCATGGAATCTAGTGTGCACGCACTGGATCGATCGGTGCTGTAGCAAGCTCTTTTAATGGATTTTCACGCCCAGTTGCGCATGCCCAGAGGGGTGGGCGTGGACATCCCGCCAGTTCCTACAAACCGCCACAAATCAACCCCCAATAAAAATGTAGAAGCTGACAGCAGCGGGAAAGGAGGGTGGGTGGTGTGAATGCACAGATGACCACTCGAAGATCACCAGTTACTGGTAAGCAACCTGCTTATCTTCGACGTGGTCTCTGTGCTTCACACCCATGGGAGATTAGCGAGCAGTAGCCTACCTGGAGGAGGGTGCTGGCAGGTCTTTTACTGC